TTTGGTCATTCTCCGCAACCTCCACATGAGCGTCCCAAGTGCAAATACAAAGGATGCAGAAAACTATGACACTTTCCATCTAGTCAGACCACTCCTAAAGATGATCTGCATCACTGCCAGTCCTTTTACCTGCCACTGTCACAACACCTGACAGTGGCAGGTTTATTGCCACTAAACCTGGCAGTAGCATAAAAACAGGGGCTGATGCTGTGTGTTCTGGCTGATCTAGATGGCTACACTGCAGATTACATCCTTTACACAGCAAAGGCCAGAACGCCTGGCTCAGAGAACGGTCTGTCATTTGATTTTGTTTTGGATCTGGTGAAGGAGTATCAGCAGCAGTTCCAGGAAGAGCTGACGGACCCCCTTCTTGGAACACCACTGAATTGCTCTACTCCTGTTCCACAAGCCACCCACCACTACCCCAAGTCCTTAAGCAGCGGAGATCCAGTTTCTTGGCGTTCCACCAAAGGAAGGGACATTTGCATACTATGCAATAAGTGCACAAGCTGTCTGCAACCAGACAGGAACTGTTTCAAGCTCTTCCATGTTGTACCATTCTCATTAATTTCCCCTCAGTATACAGTATGATTAGCCTAGTGAACTAGCCCCACCTGCCAGCGGACAAAATCCTTTTTGCCTGCGAGTTTGATCTAGCCTCGATCAATGCCCCAGGCCCTAGAACTGGCGGGCCAATCACAACGCAGAGTTGTGTTTTGAATTTTTGGCTGCAAAACGGGCGGGGTTTTGCAAAGCTGCGGGACGGTGGAGAAAGAACAACAAGGAAGATGGCAACAACTATTGAACAACAGCATGCACTGCGGCAGCAGCAGCTTTTAATTGACCTCTCCATTGAAAGTTAAAAGTTCTGTTTTCTGTTGCTGTTGTTCAATAAAAATATGTTTTAAGATTATTTGAGGCTATATATGGTCCATTTACAGATCTAATGCGTAATAAAAAAAAAACAATGTCCGAAGTTGAGAGGACCGTGACAAGCAGCGGAGCTCCGAGGCTAACGGCAGCCAGGGCTAACCGCAGCCCGTCGGCAACGGCCCTCTCTCGGCATAGTCGTGTGTTAAGGACCGTTGGCTCTGATGACGATTTTTGACTCAGCTTTGGAATCGGTTTTGGAAGGATCGGACTTGGGGTTTTCGTTGAACCTTTCCTCGAGCAGGAAGAGGCTCTACGCTCATTCATTTTTAAGAAGGACGTATTCGCCGTTTTACCGACAGGCTGTTTGTTTACACTCCCCCGCCAGCTTTCTGTCGCGCTTCCTACATCACAGTCAGTTGCGCTCATTGGTCAGAGCATTGGCCAATAGGCACAGAGAGGGGTTTGAAAAACAATGCATTGTTCTTATCAACAATCTTTCGATGTCTCATTCATCGGTCCCAGACTAAATTACACATTTAATCTCACATTTAGTCTGGTTTATCAGGCTACAGCAGTGTTTTTCAATCCTGGTCCTCAAGGCACCCTGCCCATGTTTTAGATGTTTCCCAGCTTTCATACACCTGTTATCAATTGATAGCAGATTATCAGGCTTTGCTGAACTGCAATCATCTGAATCAGGTGTGCTGAACCTCAGAAACTTCCAACACATGCAGAGCAGGGTGTCTTGAGGACCAGGATTGAAAAACAATGGGCTACAGTATGAAAGTATAGATAATATTACCGTATTGTGGAAAAGATAGTAGTGCAAAGTAATACTATAGTCCCTGTCCTGGCCTCCAAAGTTAAATGATAATAGCACTGAATAATAAATATGCAGATTGGAAGGAGCTCTCAGTCACCTGGGCAACCAGGGTTAAATCATCCCTCTGTCAGTCCTAGTTTAAGTAAAGATATGTTTTATACCTCTCATATTTTGATACACAAAATATATTCATATGATTAGATTTTGTTTCTGCCACACAAACATTGCTGTAATATGATTTTTGATAAAAGCTTTAGAAATATTTCAGTCTTTATTTCTTACTTTCTGAAGTGAAGGATGAAAAGACGTAATTTATGACTGACTGGAGAAAAAACAGTTCACTGAAAGAGAGAATCGAAGCTTTTGGGATATTTGCAAAAAAAAAAAAAGTTTCTGACAGATGTCTAAACACATGTCGCTGTCTATTCTTTTGATGAGAGATTTCCAAAGATTAACTGATTGTATAATATTCCTTCTTTTATAAACTGGTTCTGTTTTACTGCAATCTTTGCAGTTCTTCGTTTCTTTAATAAAGAAACTATTTTCAGTTGTCCTGCTTAAATAAAACATTTAACAAAACAGACTATTGGTATATACTATTATTAAAGGATGTACTGTTAAACACTTTTTGTACAGGAAAAAAGGTTGAAAATATAACAAAGAGCCTCATCCGGGACCTTTTATTCTGTTTATTTTATGTATTATATTCTGTTTTATTTTATGGATGTTTTTCTTTCAGTAAGACTATATAATTTAATTAGTTCAGTTTATATAATACACTTTATTCACAAAAAACAGCTCACTAATTATTGGTATACAAGTGATCTGTCATTATTTATTCCGTATTGATCCTGCATCTTTAAACAACCCAGAGCAGAGATTAGAATCAGAACAGATAATTTGGGCGACAGGTTCTATTTTCCTGGTTCATTCACCTAGTTTTTTCTTTCAGTATCTAGAGCTGTAATGCCTGCAGGAATGAAAACTGGATAATCTAATGGAGCTTTAAATGTGTTTAGCCACTTTAGGCATAAAGGCTTTTTTTCACTTAACTGATTAATCCTTCCAGAAGAAATGAATAAACACTTTTTATATTGAGTGTGATTCAAAGATAACTTCTGGCCTTTCTAAATTTAAAATCAGGAAATTATTCATCAAGTTTTTTATGTCTTTCAGAATAGTCTGTATGCTACCTAACATGTAGATTTGATTATTTAATGATGCATGAATTAAATGAATGGTTAATTATTTAATGGGGGATTTGATTATTGGTGTGTTTAATGGTTGTGACAGCCTGAAATGTATTTACTTCATTATATATTTATTTTATGGTGTCCCTTTTAACCCTACATAGTTTTGGGTTACAAATCTGCTTCCTGAGCTGTCCGTTTTCAGTATAGCCCAAATTGTTTTCAGGAAACAAATTAGAAAACCAGTGGTTGAAAGACAGCATGAGGCTGTCTTTCAACCACTAAGGGAAGTGGTGGCCTGGTGTTTAGGGCATAGAGCTTGGATTCCAGAGGTTCTGAGTTCAAGCCCCACAGCCACACTGTGTCCCTGAGCAAAGACCCTTAACCCCACACTGCTCCACAGGTGCCAAACAATGGCAGCCAACTGCTCCCCAAGGAGATGGGTTAAATGCAGATGGTTGATTTTGTTGCTTTTTACTGGGGCAGTGTAATCGCAATAAAGTAAAATTCTAAATTCTGATGTCCAATATTGTTTTGACAAACTTAAACACTGAAGCAGTAATGTAAGTGACATCCGATTGGTATACGAGGTGGCAACAATTCTACTTCTTGATTCTTTAAAGAATCTTTCTTACTATGACAGGTTCATAAGCAGTTCTAAATAGGAGTCAACATGGGACAGTGCCTTCTCTAGATCCTGCTATGTCCTCAGTAAAAAAAGATGATGACCACAACTGATTGGTCCCTTGCACCAATTATATATATATATATATATATATATATATATATATATATATATATATATATATATATATATATATATATATATATTTCTTTACTATTTTAATCTTAAAGTGATTTAGAAAAAATATGAAAGTTTCAGTTTTGGGAGATTAGGGGTCTGCCACCTGCAGCTCTAGAGCAGCAGAGGGGAGCTGTGGCCCAGTGATTAGGGGATTGGGCTTGGAATTCAGAGGTTCTAAGTTCAAGCCCCACTCCCACAGACTGTTACTCTGATTCCCTGAGCAAAGACCCTTAAAGGGCAGATTATACTTCTGCGCTCGCACACATCAAATGTCGCTTGGGTCTGGTTGCAAATCAGTTTTGCTGGTATGCTTCTGCACGGTTGGTCTGGAATTTCTAGGGATGCACAGCAGTTTCCCGTCAAAGCCCAAGGGGGAGCCTATTAGAGAACTCGCCAGAATTTTTGGCTTATGGTCACAAGAACCTCTGCGATGCCTGCGGTGTTTTTATTTTCTCAAAATTCTGACTTTTTTTTCCTCAGAATTCTGACTTTAATCTCAGAATTCTGACTTTTTTTTTAAGATTTCTGATTTTAATCTCAGGATTTTAGATCTTAATGTAGATGGGCACCATGAAGGAAGAGATGTGGGAGTACTCAGCTTCACTGACAAAGATGTGAGTTGTTTGAGAGGGCCAGTGACAGATTGGTGGAAAATGATGGAATTCAGCGACTTTTTAAAGTGCCAGGGGGTCCCCGGTGATGCTATTTCATTAATGGAAGAGCAGGAGGCGATTAAAACAAGGGAGCTAATTTCTAAAACAGACATTGCTACGGCTTGATGCTAACATGTTTGTTAGCTGTCAGAGTTCTGAGATGAAAGTCAGAATTCTGAGGAAAAAGTCAGAATTCTCAGATTAAAGTCAGAATTATGACTTTTTTTGTCATATTATACTGAAATAAAATGTAAAAATCTGTAATTTTTTTCAGTGGCCCTAATCCTCTTCCTAAGTGTAATGACAACAAAAAAAAAAGCTGAAAAAAATAAAATAAAATAAGCCTCTTGCCTCAAAAAGGTAGTGGCTAAAGAAAGTATTGTAAATGAGGCTCTGGAGCTTACTTAGTTGATTATTTGATACACTATTACCCAGTCATTTATTTCTAGCTTGTTTTTTTTTTGTTTTTTTTTGTTTCGTTCTTTTGTTATTTCTCACTATGAATACAACCCTGGCCCCACCCTGTTAAATTGGGTGTGGAACCAACACTGAACAGGTTGTTTCTACTTTAACACGCAATTATTACTATTATCTATTTATAATTTTGACAATAAATATTAATCTAACTATGTATGAATCAAACTAATGCAGTAAATAACTCGGTCAAACCGACAATGCGGATATGAGCTGATTATGTTGAAACTTAGTGACACTGAGGCTGGTTTCCAAGGGAGGGGGTCCCCCGTTGGGTTGTCACTTAGCGGCTAGCCTGCAGCTGCTTGGGGGTTAAAGGGATTTGAACGCTCACCCGACCCAAATAAACACTCTCTTGGAATGGCTGGATTGTAAATAACGTTATACACCATAAGTCTTCGTTTACTTAAAGCTTTAGAGGAGTTTGTTTTCGCTTCATGGTAAGAAAATGTTTAGCTGTCATTCAATAACGTTATGCTAAAAACAGCTAAGAGGTTAACAAGTAGGTTTACAAACCTTAAGGTAACTTAGCATTTATACATTATAGACAGGCTGTTTTTGATTTAAAAGTTAACCAATAATCATGTCGATTTCCATGAATTAATGAAACCAAGGATAAGTAGACGGTGATATTTTAGTTTCAGGTAGCAAAGCTTATATAGCAATTCACATTCATTCTCATAACATTACTGTCTGAACAGTCTATTTATGTGCTATTTTTTTTAAATAAAGGTATAAAAGTAACTATAAATAATAGTCCGGATTTATTGGAAAAAAAAAAAAACATTTAAAAGTTGGCCAAATTTGTTTGCGGAGCAGTTAAGTTGGGCATGCTAACATTAGCAGGCCGCAGCCAGACCGGCGGTTTTCCTGATTGTCGAAGGCCCGGCGGAAGCTCACCCCAGACCTGAGGCGCGACCACACTCCTCGTCTCCTTGAAAGTGGAAGAGCATCGCCCCCTAGTGACTGAAATCAAACATGACAGGTGAGTAACACCCATCGGCTTTACGTCTGCACCAATAATAACTCAGATATTGAAGATCTTGCACTTAAGATAATAAGCATTGAATAAAAACATTGAACTTTTAGTTCAGGTAGAGACTTGTTCCAGATGTGTCCATGGAAAAAAATAATCCCACAGCACTGACAATATATTCCAAGCATTTGTACCCGCATCACTTCCAAGTCCACATTCCCTGAACCTCAAGCCCACTAACTGAATGACAGTCCCACGGTGCCCCTCATTCCCAGCCTCTCCTCCTTTTGGTTGGATAGTGAGCTCCATTGTGTTTGTGAGATGTTTTTTAATGAGTGAGATGCACACTGAGCCTGGAGCTGCTATTGAAGGATTTGTTGCTAATCTCTTAGTTAATGCGGGCATCTTGACTGGGCTAACTTAAATTATACGAAGAAGCCTCAGGACAGGAACGAACAGTTTGTATTCATCCGGAATTTATTGTGGATGCATTTTTTTCTTTCCTGGTGCTTGTAAAATTTTTGCAAAAGTTTGAAGGGGGAAACAAGTGCAGGCTTTTATGTGGTGCTTTTTGCAACTAAACTAATTTTTTTGTCAGACAGCAGGGTTTTAGAATAACAGCTATTGGACTTGGATGGTTGATTTTTGAATCAGTATTTCTTGGCTTTTTTAAACGTTTTTCAAGTTTCCGTGTCTGGGTAAAGAAGAGTAGTGTGTGTGTGTGTGTGTGTGTGTGTACGCCTTGCCCGCTATGCCCTTGCCTGCAACAGATGTCCCAGCCACGCAGAGGCTGGCACTGAACTATCGTACCCTTCTGGACCATCGCGTGGGCAAGGGTAAGAAAAAATACCATCCCTTTTGTTCTTTTTTGGACACTGACAGAAGGAAAGCTTTGAAGAAAAAAAAAAAGGTTATCATTGTATTAAGTGACTAAAAGAAAACTCTTGTACATTTTTCTGTGTTTTGTAACTCTTTGTATCTTGTTGTGTAAGTTAAAATAGTTCCATCCTTTTTCCCTGGAAATTTAAACACAGGAGTTGTTCTAAACTTAGAGAAGTATTGGCTAAAATAATGGAAAAGTGTAGAATTTGGCTGTTTTCTAGGTAATTATGTAAAAAAAAAAAAAACATAATTGAAACTGCCTTTTTTATTATCACCCATCCATCTACAAATCCTGACTACTGGTTGAAAAGGGCTAAAACTAATTATATTTAGATTAGTGAAAAGTATAGATTGAGTTATATTGCCACCTAATTAGCTTTAAAAAACTAAACTAAACTAAAACACCTACGTTTTCTCTCAGCATGGATAAATAGAATATCCATCCTGTTGTAGCTGACATAATGTTTTGGTATGTGGAAGAAAACGGGACAATTCACAGGAAACACATGCAGGATTTAGGAGATCATTCTAACTCTGCACACATGAAGGCTGCAACAAGTTAACCCTAAACCTGGAAGCTTTTTTGCTGTAAGGTAGTAGCGCTAATGAGTTGATGACTATGCATTTGGGTTGAATTGTGGTTTGTTCAGGTGGCTCAGTGGTTTGTTCAGATGCAAAGTGCTGCAAATTCATGTTCTTATGAATGTTATTATGTAGAATGTAGTATGAAAGGTTGCTTCCTACATTCGAGCATTGTATTTTCTGACTTCAGGTGAACTTGCTAAGATTTCTTGGATGTTTTTTTAGCGTTGCATGTTTTATTTGTTCATTTTTTTGTCTGCTTTATTTGTTAGGCATATCAGATCAGAATTGTTTCCCATATAATAATCCAAACCATTGTAGAAAAGGGAACAACACGGATCAGTTCATAAGAAAAGACTGTTTGCAAGTCAAGACTTGCTCACACGTTCTTTCTCAACATGTTTTAGTGTGATTCTACTTGATCTACAATCAAAATGAGTAAAAGTAACCTCTGTTTTTCCTGCTGTACAAACTTGGTATATTTCTGTGAACTTGGTTGAGAAAAATGGCTAGCATGTATTTAACTCTCCCTCTGGGCTCTGCTGTCTAATGCTGGCAGCTTTCTAAGCACCGATCAAATGACACAGACCAAGAAGCTGCTGCATTATCTCTTGTGCTGTGAGCGCCATTGTAAAGTTGAAAAAAAAATTGCACAAAAACACAGATTCCTCTGAAAAAATAATATGCATTGGCTAAAAAAGGACTGTAGCTTTTTAGAAAAGTATGCACAAAATATGACAGGTTGCTGGCATATAATTGGCATCCATTTTTTTTTAGGTATCCGCTTTTCATCTTGCTCCATAGGTCATAGCTAATGGCTTTCATTCTTGGCATTGCACCGACGCTTCTGGTTTCATAAAGATGTTAATGTTATGGTTCTACAACATGTTTGATTATCCATCCAGTGACGGGTTGCATAGTACGTAGGTCACCAATCCATCCCAGGGTGACACATAGACATCCACACACAGTTACACACACCTAGATGGACCAATTAACCTGTGGGAGGAAGATACATGCGTGCATGCATGCATGACAACCCAGGGCCATCTTTTTGCAAGGCAATGCTGTGCACACCTCATGTTATCTAAACCGACCACATGGATTATTTTACATTGCAAAGCACTGCTAATTCTTTAAAAGAATTCAAATGTGCCTTATATTAGAGTTAAATATAACTTTGCCTTGAAATACATTTAGAAAAGATGATTTAACAAATCCATAATTTTAGGCCTTTAATGAAACGATGGAAGGACGGGATAAAGTTACATAAGCTTTGTGAAACAGTAACTATAACAATAAAGAGGAGGGAAAGAGGGACACTAACTAAAGAAGAGAGGAGGTTGCGTGGGAGGAAGGTTTTCTCTCTTTCTATCTTTCTATTAACTCACCATGCTCTGTGGATATTTGGCTAGTGTTGTATCTGCACTGCTCTGTTGACAAGGAAAGCTACTGCAGAAGAATAGGAAAATCCAAGGTCATCACGCCACGGTTTCTCTCTGACGTTGTCTCTTAGCCCCCCTTCCGTGCGCAAGTGTGTCTGCATGGCAGGGAGGGTGTGTGAGTGTGTTTGTGTGTTTGTCATAGTGTGTGATTTCCAGTGCCGGGCCTCGCTTTGCACCAATCACGGTGCACGTTTGTATGCTTTTTAGCTCAGAGCACACGTGCAGGCATTTATCCCAGAGCTCCCTCTCTCCCTGTCTCTCTCTCTCTCTCTCTCTCTCTCTCTCTGTGTTTTCATATGCGATCAGATTTGTGTGCGTTTCCAGTGCCTCTCAGCACAGCGGTGTGTCTGAATGAGGAACTGAAGCTGCACTGAGGAAACATCCAGTCCTCGTAGTGAAAAACTCCCCCCCCATCACGGCCGATGTACGGTAAGAATGTCAGTCATTTTTTCCGCCATGCATTGATGTGTGTATGCTCTAGGCTGCCGAAGCGTGTGAGCAATGGTGTTATCACAGGTTCAGCCAGTTTTCCTACATTCTGCAAAAGGCTTTTCCTGCTTGGGTTTCTTTCTAAAGCTGTTACCAGAGTGTAACGTCTCCTGAGAGCATTACGGGAACCCGGGCTCTACTGAGGATCTATTCAATTACATTACTGAACTGAAAGAAGATGCCACTTTGAGGATGTATCTTTTCTGTAATGGATTTTATTTAAATCTTTTTTTTTTTTTTTTTCTCCCCTTTTTCTTATATAATTCTTCGCTGTTTGCTGAAAAAGTGCTGACTTGATGTGTGACACGGAGACTAAGTCATTCAGTCATGGTTGGTCGATTTTTCTTGCAGTTCTTGAGGAATTGGAGCCTGTCAAGGACTTCTAAGCCAGTTGTAGATGATGTGATTTCAGATCTCAGCGGCAAATGTTTAGATACTCTAAATTCTTCTGAGTTTGGATACTCCGTGTACTCCAACAAGATGAGATGAAGCTCTGTAATTCTAGTGCTTTAGCTGAGTTAAAGGGGCGTTTTTGGCACTGATGAATGGTGTGTCAACCTAGCTTTATGTCTTGAGAATTTATTTGGACACCAGCTTGTTGGTTTCTTTATACCAGCTGTGTTTGTTGCCACCCACACGGGAATGTGTGTGTGCTCCGACTTTGTCTCACTGCTTTATAATTTATTGGCTGAAGATGGGTGCTGGTTATATGTCCGCTCGATTCTTTTAACTGTGATAGTAATAAGGAAGGATTGATAGATCTTTATTCTGCCAACACCGCCCTCTCCTGTAAAGCTTCCACAAACTCTCAGCTGCAGCTTATGTGGTTTGTGTCGTCTAATTCGTTTTTTGCTCAATCAATTTTGTCTGTTTGCAATCATTCTCCACTCTGTTTGCTTCCTTTTTATTTTGAATTTGAAGGATCTCTTCAATTCACTCTCTGAAAGTGTAAAAATAGCTGAAAGTTCCTCACCCCCTGCTATTATGTAATAAAAACTCTGAAGGGCAGAATGCTTCGTAATGACTCCAAAGAAGTGGCTTGTATTTATCTAGATGACAAAAGACATTTGCTTCTGTATATTTCTTAATAGTCAAGTCAGCACTGCAAATTCAGTTTTTTCTTACAAATATGAACACATGAATGTAAACGGCACATCGATTTAATCTTATGTTTATCATATTTGTTTGCAGGATGATGGAAATGCTATTTTTAACAAGAATGTGAATTTTCTTAAAACACAGTTCGTTTATTTTTCTCTTTCCCTCCTTCTCGTCTCGCAGCCTGATGTGAAAATATTAAGCTGACATCCAGTGGAAAATGGAGAACGTAATCTCTTAATGTGCCCGCACAATCATTTAGTGGATAAAAATAAATTTGTGATTGGCTTTTTCTGTACTGTGCGTACATATAGTGCTGCAAAGGTATTTGTATGTTATAGCCATTAAATCCAATGCATTTTAATGGAAATTTTATGTGTTAGACTTACACAAAGTGACTCATAGTACCCATGGTTTGCCCCAGTTGTTTAAAAGTAATTAAGGGCTTGTTTATATTTGCCCCCTTTATCCTTAGACGTTGCCTAATTATTTAAAGTTCACTTATCGAGCTGA